ATATGTGTAAAATTCTAGCAATTTTTTTAAATTTTATAATTATAAAATTTTATTTTACGCAATAATTATATAAACCGCCCAAATATTCAAAAATAATCGCTCGCTTTGTCCTAAATTATACAATCCCATTGTTTCAGGTAAGTTAACATTGAGTATATGCAATGGCCATCTACAGAAATGATTAAAAATAATTCAGATGTAAAAACATCAGCATTATGAATTTAATTGATTCAACATTATGAATTTAACATGACCATGTGTACATTTTAAGTACATACATTAATATTAATTGTAAATGTTCGCTTTTAACTATAAAATAAAGAATTAGTTAGAAACTTCTTCTAGCCTATAAATTTTTATATATCTATGAGGTTATAATACTTACTGCGCACAAACATTTTTACATATATTGAAGTGTAATGCAATTGTTGCTTTTTAACGTAAAATTTATGCAAGCGTCCTAACTTCTATGTGTGCTAAAAAAAATTACGCACATAGAACAATTAAATTATAAAAAATTTTGTTACAATTAATTACCTGTTCACGTAAATCTTCATCGAGGTTACAGTTGGACAATTTGTGAAGAATTGCTACAGTATCGTTTATCTGAAATTATTTTATCATATCATAAGTTTCTTAAATCAGAGTATTGTATAACCAGTGCATAAAAAAAGATCAAGATATTACATTCTTCTTATTTCTTAATAAAAAATGATACGAAATAAATACAATTAGCCAAATATTCTGTAACGCAAGATGCATAAAGTAAACAAAGTAATTAAAATTGTCAATCGGATTATAGTGAAGGAAAAGCTAGTCGCATTAAAATGCAATATTCTAGGATCAATTTGTTTATATAGTACGGAAATTATTCGTAAAAGGCGTTAATAGAAATGTCATTAAACGTATTACGACGGTGTGAAAATATCTGAAAATATAAAATGATCTTGTCTTGTGACTCGATATCCAGATCTCGGTATAGGCTGCACGGGCTGCACCAATTTTATTCCAACTGATCGTAATCGAAAGATACCGATGATATCAAATAATAAAGGTGTTTTTATATTTTTTATTGCGATTTTAGTTCTTGAATAATTTTAAATTAAGAATATAACTAATGAGGCTTGTTCTTTTTGCCTGCACTGTCTGCACCAGTTCAGACAGTGCAATAAGTTGAAGTGAAACAAACGTATATCTATTTCACTTCAACTTATTGCACTGTGGGCACAGTGCAGAGAAAAAGAACAGGCCTATTGTATCGTTCAGAATTTAGCAATGGCACGCACATATACAGGGTGACCCATTTTAACTTAGGCAGCCAAATAACTCGAAAAATAAGCACACTACGAAAAAATGTTTAGAATGAAAAATTCGTCATTTCGAGGGGGACGTACAATGACGTTAAAATCAGCCCCCCCACCCCTCCCCCTGGGCGGTGAGGGGGGGTAAGTTTGAAATCTTAAATGGGAACCCCTATTTTTTATTGCATATTCGGAATCTTTGGCTAAAAACACATACAATTTGTCTGAAACATTTTTCTCGATTCATGATAGATGGCGCTGTAATCGACGAAATTCAATTTCTTCGATTTCTCTTACTGAGAACCCATGCTTACGATTCTGTAAAAAATTAACAATAAAAATACCACGTTTTCATTGTTAATACTCGAAATTAGTCTTAAAACAAACTTCTCATTATTTTTTATTACTCATTAATTACTTCTCAAGAAACTACTTTTAGCGTAACCTGCCCTTTAGGCAACTTGAATGGTCCAAAGTACCGAGACATTTTGGACTTTCCATCTGATGGAGTTCCTCTAAGTATCCCTCCAAAATTTTGTCCATTTAGTGCCAAAGTCACAAGTGTTTATGTATTTTTTTAACATTTGTACTCTGATAAAATTCTGGTAAAATGGCAAATTATACGCCTACAGAAGTAGTCGATATTCTTATAACCTTTGGTGAATGTGGTAGAAATCACGTTGTTGTTCCTGAGTTACGCTAAAAGCAGTTTCTTGAGAAGTAATTAATGAGTAATAAAAAATAATGAGAAGTTTGTTTTAAGACTAATTTCGAGTATTAACAATGAAAACGTGGTATTTTTATTGTTAATTTATTGCAGAATCGTAAGCATGGGTTCTCAGTAAGAGAAATCGAAGAAATTGAATTTCGTCGATTACAGCGCCATCTATCATGAATCGAGAAAAATGTTTCAGACAAATTGTATGTGTTTTTAGCCAAAGATTCCGAATATGCAATAAAAAATAGGGGTTCCCATTTAAGATTTCAAACTTGCCCCCCCTCACCGCCCAGGGAGAGGGGTGGGGGGGCTGATTTCAACGTCATTGTACGTCCCCCTCGAAATGACGAAATTTTCATTCTAAACATTTTTTCGTAGTGTGCTTATTTTTCGAGTTATTTGGCTGCCTAAGTTAAAATGGGTCACCCTGTATATATATATATATATGTAATAACGTTTATAGTCTGATGTATATGACGAAACACTATCATGTCTTTACATACAAAATTTTGTAGTAAATTTGACAGTTTTATACCCAATGAATAAGATTACGTCATTTGGGAAGAACTACATACATATGTAACTTCATTCATGTAAAATTGTTGTTTGTGTCTATTATTTTACTTAGAAATAATTAGTGATGATTTCATTTTACCATACCTTATTGTAAATACTTTGACAAAAATAATTCAATGTAAGAAATAAGATACTTTGCTGAATAAAAAAAGAAGTTTCCTGCAAGCATACGGCAACATTAACCAGTGTCCAAAGTTGGCTTTTGTTCACCGCAATAAGTATTACATATATATGGATAAGAATTTCGGTTGCTATGAAAAAGTACCACAGCATTTGAATTAACATTTGTATGATGAACACTTTGTTGAATTTACGTGACGTAAGGCATAACTGTAAGTGAACCTGCCTGTAAATAAATCATAATTGCTACAAATAATTATTTCTAGACTAAAAATATGATCCGTTTTTTACTTTTTGTACGTGTGTTTATTGTTTAATTAAACATATTTTTAGTCTAGAATTTTATGTAATCTGTAGTTGAGTGTAAATTGCAATTGGTTCAGAATGTGCGAATGTTTCATACAGTTGTAGTTCATTATTTTTGTAGGCACATGATGTTTGTGTGATCCACATCTAACTTTAAAGATACGTTCCGTTTCACACATGATGCGCATGATGCATTAATTATCCTTGTTTAATATTTGGTGAGCAACAAAGATAAACGTTGCGCATTTATGCGCATCATGCGAGAAACGAAACGCATCTTAAATATTCCATTCCTTTTTTTGAAGGTACCAAAAATATTTAAATAAAATAGGCACATTTTTAAGGGGAATGTATTTTTGTCACGTTGTTTTCGTTGTAGATGGATGCCTCAATTGCCTCATATACATGTATGTACTAGAGTAAAAATTTTTTGTATATAATCATACATAAACATATATAACTATATATAACTTATATATAATTGTATTCAATTATACAGGGTGACCCATTTTAACTTAGGCAGCCAAATAACTCGAAAAATAAGCACACTACGAAAAAATGTTTAGAATGAAAATTTCGTCATTTCGAGGGGGACGTACAATGACGTTAAAATCAGCCCCCC